GCACTTTGCACTATGTGCGAATAATGTAATAATAAGTTAATAGATCTATCTAATGAATTTAGCATTCGTATTTAATTAACAATACAACGTATCTAGTAAAACAGAAACAGTTACATGTATATTCAAGATTCACTAATGAGTGAAAGTCTTCTTAAAATTAAAAGTTCTTTGCGATTTCAAGAGTGCATTGTTCACTAAATTAGGTCGCAAACAACTCGACAAACTTTGTAGTTAAGCTTGAAAAATGAATTGCAACGTTGTCTTGGCTCATAAATAATGTATTCATCACTTGGCCTGTTGGCCATAATACTAACGTTAAAGCACTTTTAAGATTTAATGGTCATTACAGAACTCCATGGGAAACTTTGACAAAATAGACTTTTAAAACTTTTAAAAATTGATTAACGCTTTAAAGTTGCGGGAGTCCTCGTGTAGATTTCTTACATAGAGGACTAGTTCCCAATTTTTTTTTTAAATAAACATGTTAGTTATGGTTGCTTAAAAGTATTTCACTCATTTTGCTGTTTGAGTTCGCCAAGGACCGACCAGAGTCTACATTTTAACGCTCATATCTCCATTTAGGAAAAACAATATTTTAAATTATTTGATAGTTGAACTAAATAAAACGTTCTCTTGGCTGAGAGCGATTAGTTGATGCCAATTCCAGAAAAAAAAATATATTCAATTTATCAATGTACATTTTCAAATCTTTCTTGTTTTGCATAAGCTCTTAAGTTTTCATCTCACACTATTGTTTACCCAATAAATTACTTCCAAACGCACAATCATCTAAACAATGTGTTTTCCAAATCATTAAATGCACAGTTTTCACAATCCATTTTTATCTCTGGGGACAACTGAAAAATATATTGTTTATTGCTGTTGATACTCGGAAGGGAATGTTGCAAATAATTATGTTTCAATCCGATGAACAAATAAACAATGAAATTGTGAAGATTGCATTAATAATTACTTCGGCGTACAGGAGAATAGGTAGGTCATACTACAGGTTGTCATCCTTAAACCGACGTATAAAGTTTTTAAGTCATTTTAGTAATATACGTTTTCTGGAAATATACGTTTTCTGTTCATTTTATCGATATCACAAAGGTACATTTTTTACTTTAATTAGTAAAAACTTTAAATAATTATTCTATTAAAAACTGAGAAATTTGCAAAAAGAACTATATCATAAAGACGGCAACAATGTTTTTCAAGATAATTTGCCTAATTAATATTACTTCAATATACCTATGTTGCTTCGTAACTATTAAAAACTCCGGTAACCATGCAAAAATACAAAGTGACAATAAAATTGGGATAAATGGTAAATTCAACAGGATTCGGTAAACGAAAGTATCTACATTTTTCGAAATGTCAAATTGTCAACGAAAAATTGATCTTTATTGTGATAATAACCTCGAATTGATGAGTTTCCAGATAAACAAACAACAAACATTTCTGTCCTTAACTCCAAACAAGTTAGTCCCTGTGTAATCGCCATATTTTCTTATCTATTCTTTTCTTATCTATCCTTATTCGGTTAATTAAATCCTGCTCAATTTGTATCTGTGTTCAGTAAACCATTGGTTTAATGTGTCCTTGTGTTCTGGGTATCTGCCATACGTGGCAGGAATCCCTATTTGGTGCATTGGAACCCAAACATCTATTGTCGTCCACCATGTTCCTAAAGCCAATCTTCCAGTGTCTCTAGCCCTTTGTTGGGGTAAGTTCTTACAGCTTCTGCTATGTTACTGTGGCATTCTCCCATAACTAATAGCATATCCGCAAATTCGATATTGGTGTAAATTTTGTGAAATAAGCTTCAAAGCAAGTCACAATTTCACAAATGATTGTTATTCTTGACAAAAGCTTTGTACCTGTAATTACCGGATAAGGACAAAAAATAACCTGTCACTTTGACTTTTCATTGAAAAATTTGTAGAAAGTACTTTCCTAATACGAAGAATTTTTATAATTAGATGCAAACATCGTAATTTTTCTATTCGAATGCTTAAGTATTCCTATAAGCTACTACTCAAACATGGGACCACTTCAAAATAAAGCTTAATAACAAAGTTAAAATTCGATATTCAACTGTTAATATATTCTAGAAATAATATGCTCTGTAATATTAAACCGAGTCTCTTGATGCTCTGAAAGCCATCAAATTGTTTAATACCACTTTGAATTACTTCCGTTGCTTACACTGAACGATACTTTGTAAATCTTGTAAGGAGACGCTGATTTATATTAACTAGGAGCAAAAGCCGGCAGGACACAGTCGCTTCTTCAGAGTAACTAATTAGGACTGGCTCTACAGATAAACACCTATTACCTGAAAATTATTTGAAGACAAATAGGATGCTAAAGTAAATCCGTAATCAGCGCTGGTGAGAAAATTTGACCGCTCATGTAATCGATTGTTTGAAGAAAGCAAGGAAAACAGACTCTACTCTTGCATAAGTTAGGTAAAAATCTAGCTTTGTTCTGTCACTAAATCAATACCTCGTGGTATCCGAATAAAGAATACAAATATTTCCTGCACGAAATGAAGATCCAACCAAAGTAATAATGCACAAAAGCGAATGGAAATTGAATTCTATATTATGAATCCAGATATTTTGCCACAATCAATATACTATGAAAGACATATTTCATCGCAATAGTCGAATATAGGTATAAACTGTAGATAATATAAGAAGCGAGAGATAGTCCATCGGATTTTTATTTGACAAGGAAAAAATCTACTTTCGAGCATCATTTCAATCAGCTTGAGTCTTGAAAGTGGTTTTCATATTGGAGGCGCCTTAAATTGTCTGTTACAGATAGTAGTTGAACATTTTCAATAAAAGTTTAGATCTGCAAAATTTAACGATCAGAATAGCAATTTTGAGTTTTTAGAACTTAGACTTAATTGCCATCAAATTGGCATTTTTGTTGATGAACTTTATCTAGTAGGAAATGTGTGACTATCGCTAATAGCTTTTAAAAAATTATCCAAACCTTGCGACCTCTGCATAAATTATTTTAATTTCTCCATAACAATTAACGACTAATACAGAATAAGATAAGCAATCGCAAGATTGAAATCCGCGATAGCAGTTGGCAGACTCGATTTGTCATGTAATTAAATATCTACATGTAAAGTTAATTGAAAATTAATATTTGATGGATCGTACTCGTTAACATAATGCCGTTTGAATGATGATTAATGACAAATATATTTTATGACATTAAGTATTATAACGAGAACTTGTAATTATTGGAAAACTTAATAGTACTGTTAGTTTAACGATACGAGATCCGATAGGGTTTTTAATTCTTAAGTAATGGCCGTATTTAAAGCAAATCTCGATTTCAATTCGGTTCCTTTAAAAACAATAAGTAGCCATCTGCTTACTGCTTATAAAAACGGCATTATTTTCTTGATGTCCAGTGTACAATGTTTTTCTGAAAAAAAATTAATCGCTCCGTACGGTTTGTAAAAAAGACATACTTCAGAATCCGCAAAGAAGAGATACTTCAATGTTCAGTGCAAAAGTTTGACCAGAAATACATTTTATATGAACAGAGCAACAAGTTGAGCGTTTTTAATGGAGCCTTGTAAAGACAATTCGGGGACACAATTAAGCACAAGTAAATAATTAATTTTTAATAATTAATTAATTAATAGCATCTTCAGAGGGCTTCAAAAGATAAATATATATTAAGTAAAATTAGCGCAAAGTCGAAAAGTAAAATTAATTTCAGAGCGGTTGAAAAAGTTTTTTTATTGGCGTAATCAAATGTAGGTATAGAGCAAATGCCGAGTTTGAAGTAAATTAAACCAGTCAATGTTTTWTCTGCAATCAATAGATTTTAATTTCCGAACTTGCAAAACATGGYTTAAAGTTGTTTTATTAAGAACGTCCAATAAACCATTCACACAGCTCGTTCAATCCTGGAAAATTAGATTTTAAGTACTAACTAACAGTAGTTTTYCAGCAGTTGCGACTTCGGGCACCATGGCCATTAAATWCAATTACATATAGGAATGTTTAATTAACAGTTTATATGAAATATTTTAATATTTGGGAATTTTTTAAACTAATGTTTCAGGACGCGGAATTTAATGACCAGAATGGCCAATTTCAATATTTAGAGCTTAGAGAGTGTTCCAGTTCAGAGAAAATTCCGTTCGGGGACCTTTTGCAGAAGTGCACATTAAAAATGAGAAAAGGACTTAAGGCTTTACCTCGAGAAAATATATTACATTTTCAATATAAACTTCTCTCGATAAAGTGTATAATTCTAGTAAAGAAGGGAAACTTCAATCGAATGCAAATTGATATAAAGCGCAATTCCGTGACGAGTGCTTAGTAAGCTCAGAAGCTTAAAAATTACAAAGAGGATAGCCAGGAAATCAGGCAAAATCGATGGACAAAAAATCTTCAATACACAACTAAAACATAGTCCTAAAGCGTATCTTAAACTTCCCCATTCTGGTACCGTTGCAATTGAAAGGCGTAAAATCAACAATTCTAAAATTTGTCAACTTTTAAAACTTGATTAACAAAACGAAACAACTTTTCTCTGCAAAAGATGCAAAAATGACAACAAATTATCATCAGAAAGTTTACTCCTCCAGAGCTACCATAAGCTAATTATTTCAGAATTGAATTAAGTACAAGAAGTCAGACTTATCTCGGGATTGTGAAAGACTTGACGCCAATAGCGAATAAAGAGGCAAAATCTGAACTATTTGGTTCTGAGAGGTGGAAGTATCAGTTAAAAGTTGATAATCGTGATGTAATTGAAAAAGTGTTTGAAGCTTGAATTAAGAATAAAATAAGAATAGGTCTACTCTAGTTGACCTAAAATGGCATGGACACATTTCGCATGCTGAATGAAATGTTGAATTTTCATAAAACTGATAAGTATTAGTGGATGACCATATATGTAATTGAAATTTTCGAGTCGGGATATAAGAAAATGTTTTTGTAATATTTAGGCCGAAATAATTGGAACGTTTTCTATTGGTCTGTTTATTTTTTCCAACCTTTTAAATGAACAACAGTAATTACATTTTTTCTGAAAACAATTTACTGCACTTAATGTAGAATAAAACAAATCAATTCAGATATCAAATATTTCTTATGCAAGATCGGGCTAAATATTGTTCTTCTCTGCATGGCGACCCTCCAACCGTAACTCAATTTTTTTTCAATCAAAGTTTTCCAATTTCAATTTTTTCTTCAAATGCTGCTGGTCCTTCTAAAACGTAAATTTTAGGATATGATTATGCATGTGACTATTTTTATTACTTTTGTGTGCAAAATTAACTCCCAAACTATTTTCAACACTTTTTAAGCATTCTGTCTATAAAAATTATAAACATTTAAATATTAGAACTATTACAATATTATTAAAACTGAACGACGACAGATATCTAGATATTTAATTATCACAGTCTGCTGTGATTGGAGAAATCCTTGGAAAACAATAACTTGGGAAGATGCGTACATGCCTAAGGACTTTCCAGATCTAGTAGAACTTCGACGTGTGCGAATGAAACGTTCTACATAAGTAATAAAAATTACCGTTTTCACATCTAAGTTTAATAATATTAAGTAATTTTTTAACCGCACAAAACCCAAGAGATCTATTAGCTTTGCATTTTTTTGCTCTCTACCCCACGATCGCACAGTTTGTAGACCACTTTGCATGTATTTAACCGGTAGTAAGGCCCGTGATATTTTCGATAAATGCCGAGTTAACAAAGACTTGTTTTCTGCTATGAAATGTGTTTGCATTCTCTTAAACCCTTCGAAAACTCTACAATATAAGTACATCAGGTTCTCATGACATATGGCTGATCACGTATATTTGATGGTCATTTCATGAAACGCAAAAAAATAAAGGAAAATTTGCGTGTTCAAGCATTTTCAATGAAGATGATATATTTGCTTTATCAGAATGTATGAGGAGCTTCTGGCTAGGGTTTTTGGCCCTCCGTATAAGCTGCCTATCCCATATAAAAGGATGTCGGAAAAGTAAGGAATGAATGAATAAATTCGGGAAATTTTCCTTCAGAAAAATTCTTGGACACGTACTTTATTGTTTAAAAGTGGGACGTATTTGAGAGAATGTTTGAATATATAGAACATTCCTAAATTGATATCCGACTAAGGTGAAATTTTCAAATGTAAACCGCAAATTTTAGTGTTTCAATAGTAATTTTTATTCCAAGTAAAATTTCTGGTATTTGTCATGTTACATAACCAAATCCGATATTCACTTATTCGCCAAAAAAGATGATTGAATAAAAACTGTTGATGATAAAGAAATATAATTGCATTGGAAACATCTTGTTTAATAATTACGATCATTAAGTAAGAGTATGCCCATTTTTATAATTTTTGATTTATTAGTTTGTTGTTTTTATATTAAGACATGGTTGATTGAGTAATTTAGTTCATACGATTTAAGTACACTACACTTTTTTGTGGGTGTATATAAAAAACTGAGTGTATGTTTTTCAAGCAACCACCGAAGATGATATGAAGAATGGAATTAGATCATACATACTTATGTTAAACGTACGGAAAACTTTAAACATTAGATACTTATTTGAAGATTTATTAAAGGAAACGGTGTAATAGTAATTTGTTTATATCGGTTTTCGGCCATGTTTTCATTAAATCCTGATAGATCACTCTTGAATTGTTTTTATAGTATTATCATTAATCAATGTTAAGTTTTAACCATTTAAACAATGGTTTTTTAAGACTTCCGCGATGTAAAGTGGTAGAAACGTAGCACTGGGCACAATGCTTTTGTTTATTATTTGCGTATTTTAATAAGGAAAAGTAAAGTATTTTATAGAAAAATATTGACAATGTACCTATAACGGGTGTGATTATTTACAGTTTTATGTACTTAATATACCTACTTTGCAGGGTAATATAAAGGGTACCTTATTCCAATAAATTTAAATAATGGAATTTGAATCAAATGAATAAATTTATCGAACCGTATTTAGATTTAGTAAGTAATACTCATTGGGAAAATGGGATTTAAATGATGAATAATGACACAACTATGTTATGATCAACTGATTTTAACTAGAATTTTATCGTGCTTTATTTGCAAATGACAAAGTAGTTTGCAACCTCGTTTCCAACCGAAACTTGAAGAAGTTTGAAAAAGAAACTCAATTTGCCTCTTTTCATCGAGCGCTTTCCAATAGAACAGATCCAATTAGGAAACATGTGTATAAGTTTCTAGTTTGTATACTTATGTGTTTCGAACTTGGAGTTCAGACTAATGAATGGGGGGCTGATCAGTTGCAGTTAAACATGTAGGTATATTGTTTTATTGGATTATATCTAGAATATGAACATTTAGGAGTAGTTTGTAATGGCAGTCATGTGTTTATTCCTATGCCAATGCAGTAACTAGTTAATTATAGGTAATGCAATCTTAATTTAAAAGGCTTATCAGTCCATACCTTCCAATTTCCTCACACAAATCATAAACCTCATCAAATAGCACCTCCTCGTCAGCCATCATATTGTTACAGTTTTTTTCTCACAAAAAAACCAAAAACAAGCCTTTTGCAAAAAATGTCAACAAAACTGGGTTCATGTTGCGCAAATCACGCCGACGGTAAACAAACCCGAAAATCGGAAATTCCCATTACTTAACCACATTTTTTTCTGTAACAATTTGAAAAAAATCTCCCCACCTCTAAAACGAGAGTGCAATCTAGGCAAAAGGACAAAACACTGGAGAAATACTAGTTGCATAAAATTAGGCGGCCAAAAAGCGATCACTTGTGATTGTTTGGAAGTGGAGTTCTCTCAGCCAGGGCTGCGACATCAGCAGAACTGGGCAAAACAACATCACGACCCGGTAAAATATTTAAATCGGCTGAATTAGGCGAATAGACTCAAGGGAGCCCCGAATACGCCCCAAAACGTCACGACGGCCCTTAGCACCACATTGACAGACGACAGCCCGTCTCAAAACTACAGGCGCGGACTATCCCTATTTACACATGCGCCATTGATAAGCGAAACGATAGAGAGGTACAGCCTGACGCGTTATTTAATTTCACTTTAAATTAAACAGTGACTCGGTTTACTCATTTAATTGTCAATAGAAATAACTGATATCAATCGCATTGTGCAGTATTTCTCGAAAAATATCCCTAGAATTTCTGTGTGAAATTTTAAAGGTGACTTTGAGCCTATTTTGAACTGCAAGAAAAAAAAATAAAACATGTTGAGCTAATTACTAAACGCGAGAAAATTTTCAGAAATTTTTGGCTTTTTTATTATTTGCTAACTGTACATGGTTATTTATTGAACTTTAGCCACCTCGTTTTTGCATCTAATTGCACTGCATCAATATTGGTTATTAACTCAAAATCAGTTGAAAATCATTATAGAATATTTATATCGAAGAGGCCTGGAATTGTCCGAATAGTTCGAATATGCAATAAAAAAGAATGAACACAAACAACAGAGAACACAAAATTGTGAATAAATGATTAGTGCATCAACCAAAAAAATGAGTTGCTTCCATCCACCAAATAAAAAGTTCTGGTATTTTTTGCACCACGAGACTCAAGAATTCACCACTTGTCCAAAACGGCAAAACTCGATTGTTTCATCAAAATATGAGTCTTGCATAAGAACAAATTCACAGAGAGTTTCACTAAAAACAATCGTACCATTCTACCGATATTTCAAAAAAGATAAATTTTTTGAGGAACTTTGACCATCGATAGTCAGACATTTTTTGTTGACAAAAGTTAGGTTAGATCGAATTCTTTTGATCCAAGTAGTATCGCAGTACCCTTTTGATCATATGCTTACGGGAGACCAAATTAATAATAACATGTTTTTAGCGTAGCATGTTCGGTTTTGTATAATTCGCAAATTTCCAAATACACATAAAACAGCTAACCACAGTTTAATTAACCGCAACTAACCGCAATTTAATATGCATCTAGATTAAGACGATTTAATAAATAGCGAGGAAAGTACTTTCTGAAGCTTCGTAAAGTAAAAAACGTTAAATGGTTCTTTTATAAGGGATTAACAAGACGTCTTGCAGTAGGCATCTTTAAGGTGTCTTAAAGACATCTTCAAGAGGCATAAGACGTTCAGACATAATAGCGAGTTAAATTAGGCTATATGGCTTGTGCTGTCTGGGTAAAGTCCAGTAAACTTAGGTGAAAAAACGTTAAATTAATAAACATTTACAATATCTACTAATGTTTATGTATTTATATAAACGAATTTCATAATAAAATTATGAAATTCTATAATAAGCGGGGATGAAAAATTGGACTCACCGAAAAAACTACTTTTCCTCTGAGTATGATAAATAGACAGAGACGATTTAATGTGGTCTGTGTTACGGTATTAAAGACAATGTCATAGTGAGTCTCTATTGGCGCTTCCAGCAAAGCATGTGCATTTTCTGTGATTCTGTTTAACTTTTCCTTTTACATTTTGATAAATTTGTAAGAATTTTTATATTTTAATTTGAATTGGGCCGTTACCATTGCAACGTATGGGCTGTAATCAATGTGGGTTTCTTTAGGGAATATGCACGTACATATTTCAATAGTGCAGCTCGCTAAGCCATATAAAATCAATAATGCATCTATAGCTGCCGGGCTAAGGTATACTTTAGCTATAGCTTCATTTACAGTATACTTCTATTTGGCATCTTTTACAATTTATAAATTCAAATCTGCCACAGTTATGGGCAGGAATGCTTGTTTTATTAAAATGAGAATCAAACGCGCCCCTGAATAATTCAAAAATAAAATTGCTAGTAGGAAATGTAACAGTAGGTATACACTGGCATATAAAGGATGTTGTTTCTCTATTGAAGATACCAAGTAGTAGGGGAGTAAAAAATAGATTGAAAATAGTTCAGAACAATAAAAGGATACTTATTTTTTTAACTGTAAGTTCTAACTTTTTCTAATCGGTTCAAAAATAAAAAATATGTCACTGCAATAAATAACGTTTTAAACAGAAATCGAATCGCTCGCTGCAATTAGAATCTATCCAGTTGCAAAGTTAGTCCAAATTTGTCAGTGAATCGTTGATTTGGTTGTTGGTTGAGCTGTTTATTTTGTAAAACGTCTCTTGCGGCGCTTTGTAAAACGCATTGTTGACTAAATTGTAGTAATAACATGAGAAAATATAAAGAACGTACCCGAGATGTACTTCGCGAAATAACATCTGCAATGTTGAGACACAAAAAGAAAACTTTGTAAAAGGAATTCATGTGTTCCTTGAAAATGTAGTAATACATTTTACGTGTATATAAATTATTTATACAACCGTAAATAGTATTTTGCGCTTCTGGTGCCATCACATTTAAAGTTTCAGGTTTTTCTTAACAGTCTGTATTTCATATTTTAATTAAATTTTATTCCGTGGACTCCAAGTCGTGAATAAAATATGAAATAAACCAAACGAAACACTGTAATATTAAGCAATCACTTTACAGGGGATTATGTATATTACGCAATTATTTTAAATTACACTTCTAAAGATATAATAAAATACGAAATAATTAAAATTTCTATTAATTTTGCGGTATTTCGTGCATTTACCTGTCTGGGCTACCCTAGATTTTCCATATATTATTATAATTAGAGCAAGTGAAGCTATATAGGAAAATTGGCTATAAAAAGCGCTCAGATTTACTATTACCTACACACTTTTATAATCCACTAAGTATGTAGGTAAAGCTGCTTAAAAGGAATGCATTTTGTACATTCTCATATTTTTTAAACCTACTCAGAGTCGAATAGGGCGGTGATTCATAACTGAAGTTGTAAAGACTTAGCTGAGATTATTATAGACGAAACTTTTTAGTGAACATTCCACAAACATTTCGTTTCTGAGTCACTGGGTGTTGACTAGTTTTTGTATGTATTTGATCGAGAACAAAAATCCGATAAATTCAAAATAAATGTAGATAGCAAAGACGCAGGTGTGCAACTTCGAACGCAAAGGCTTGATAAACTAGTACATTGCAGAAACAGTGAGGCCTTAAATTGATCAATTACCATTATAGCGTACAATCTACTATATGAAGAGAAAATGTTATAAACTTAACTAAATATTCATAGCTGTAACCCTTTATAAATCCCCCGCGAGATGCCAGCTCTCTTGTTCTGGTTCTCTAAGTTTTCCTAGAAGAGAAGTTTTGTGCGCTTCACCACATAACCCCACACACAAGCAAGTGAGGTTAAATTCCAACATTTTCTTGGAGTGTTTATAAAGCATCAGATAGTTTTGCTTTAAACTTTCCCTGCTGACAATGAATTTGGGATATTCTGTTTTGACCAATAGTACGCACTTGCTTGTAGCATTTTTGGGTTACCATCTATTAAATCTCTTAATTATTTCCAGGGCTTTCTCATTTGATCCAGATTAGTTCTACGGGGCACTTCCTGAAAAATGTTGTTAGAAGTCCTTCGCTGGCCGCAATTCAAGCCAGAGATTATGCAGCTCGTAAAGGTACCAGGGAACGTAAGAGCAAAGCTAAAGTTAAGATGGAAGTGAAAAAAATCGGTTTTATACCCCATAATTTAAGGAACAGGTAAGTGAGACTACAGAGTTAAAACTGCAATTATTTCAAATGTTCAAGCGCTTACGTACGTTGGTTATCGTTGTATTAATGATTGATTTTATTGCATGAGAAAAGCTGATTTGTCGGACTAAGTTTTTGATTTAAAATACACAAAAGTATAGGGCTATTTACTTGAGATGCATTTCGATTAGTTTTACTCTCATATTTTCCTTTTCAAATCTTTTTATCAGTAAATTGCGGTCATAATTTCCAAAATCCAATGATAATAACGGGTTTTAAATTCTTTATATTGGATTAATCGTTGTGAATCGCTAATAATCGTGAAGAATGTATAATTGGTTAGTGATTGCTTAATTTCGTACATAACATCTTTGTATATTATCATTTAAAAAATGATGTATTTAAGTAGAACCATTAAAATTTGTGATCAAGTATGTATACCCTTTTTTCTACAATCAGTAGTAGGTTTCTATATAAAATATCCAAAATTTTATCTTTTTAATACAGTATTATTGTAATTAAGTTTTACTCGATAACATGCAGTTTTGTCTAACATATTTTATGGTACTCTAGGTTCTAGTCTACTCAAGTTTTATGCATACAGTGAGACACTGTGGAAACGTTATTAACTGCAGTTTTTCCAATTTTTGTTATTAAATACGATAATTCCGAATATAAACTTTCTTGTTTTTCATATTAAATCCAATTAAAATGTCTCTTTTTTCACCATTAGTTATCGACTTCGTTTCTGGTGAATTTTAAGAAAAATTTCAAACATTCAACTCATTGAATATTAATAAGTCATGGTTTAAAAATGGTTCAGAGACATCAATTTTGTTTCTTAGTTCTCGCTGTCCACTTCATCGATGTATTTATATCTAAATGTCTATTTAGTTTCTACAGGGTGGCCGTCAAGGTATCCGAAATAGGTACTTTGCATAAAAATTTTAACAAAACGTATTTTTTTCGGTTCCTGAATTCTCAAAATGTTTATCAAATAGCGAGGTATTTGTTTTGAGTTTTTACTAAAGAGTGAATGGTATTTTCAACCAAAGGACTGGGTAGTATAATAATCAGCAATTTCGCTGGAATTAGAACATAATTAGGAACAAGTTCCTGATTATTGTCAATTTATAATTTCATGCGTTTATTAAGAACGCTTTGCTTCGACTAATTGAGGACGTGGTTTTTCAAACTGAATCAGAATTGGAATCGTTGTATAGGCCGTGTTGGTTCCATTGCTTGTCCGCTGCGATATCCAGACTTCAACTAGTCGGATTTTTTTATGTTGGAAGATGAGGAAGCACTTACGTATTCATTAGGAAAGTCTATTGAGTAGGAATTAAGTCATCGGATAAATTTGCCACATTTAATGAGGTGAAACAATATGGAAAAGTACAACTGTGAACCAGTTTCGGCGGAAATTGATTAAAATTATTATTTCTTAGCTACTAAGATGACTTGAGTAAATTCAAACCCTCAATATGGTTTGAACTGCTGAAAATTCCGGAAGAGTAAAACTAATTGTATAATTTATAGACGAAGTACGTCGATACCTTGGCTTTTACCATGTACATCTATTGATTTAAAAATATTTTCATATGTTTCTATATTGCATTTTTGAGGCAATCTAATAGTATATATTATACATTAGAACAAAGTTCTGTTCAGCTATAGGACATTTTATTAACAAATACGTTCTTTCAACTTCAAGAGAAAAAATGTTAGCCAGCAGAGCGTCTAAAAAATATGATGATAGTTGGAAGAGGGATCCAATTGATGATGTTTACGTCATGAAATATTACAAGTGGACTGTACATTCTTTTGTGGATGCTGTTAAAGCTCACAGGGAGACTCATCATCCTGAAATATATAACAGGCCAAACGCAGAATTATTTGTTACCATTGACTTAAATATGCAGGGAGAAAAGAAGGTAGTTTTTCGGTCTGAATTATATTCGTCAGAACTTTAAAAAAACTAGAATATTTGTATGGCAGACGCGCTTTGTGGATAATTTCAAAAGAATTGCCGGAATACCGCATAAATTTGACATTAAAGAAGAACGCACAGTTATAGCATTTGCAAAGAACACGGAAAGTATACAAGAAGCTATAAAGGCTGGAGCGCAAATGTCTGGTGGAGTTGACTTGATAAAACAAATTCAGAATGGACAGGTATTAACGTGTAGTTTTTTACATAATATTTTATCTTGATTATTTGAAATATTTTTATTTCGGGCCTTTATTAAATTTTCATTTAACCAAGACATTTATAATCTAAAATGCAGGTTCTACTTCAAGACTTTCAGCACGTAATTGCCCATCCCGATATTTTAGCTGAGCTGCTTGTTTTAAGGTAACTGTAAATTTATTATAGAATAGGCAGAGAATAGAAATACACATAGTGTGGTATGGTGGTAAAAATCAAAATTTTGCAATAAACACTAACATTTTTCTACAGCAGTTGTCAATAATAGATATTTGTTTAATTTTAGAGGTATCATGAAAAAGAAATTTCCCAATACCAAATCTGGGACGCTAGATGCTAACCTAGGGCCAGTTGTGGATCGGTTTTTGAATGGCATTGCTTATCAGGCCTTAAAAGATGAATATGAGCATGATTTTGGCCAAATCGAAACGGTTATCGGAACAGTAAGTGTTTATTATGTAATTTACTATTAATGTTCTGTGTATTTGGAAGTTTTTATATCCTCTGCTTTTAATTTCAGCTAAATATGGACCCAGAAGACTTGGAGAGAAATTTTATAGCATTAATAAACGATATATACACCCAGAAACCAAAGCGAGAAGGACAGTTTGTTACTAGGTGTGTATTGAAATACATATGGCAGTGTGGTCAACTAGCCTTTTATTTTATTTTATTTTTCTATTTATTTGAAGATGTTTGTTATGGAGCCCTCCATCTGACGAAAAACTTAAAGTCGGCTTTAGTCATTATCTTATCGATAATAAAAAGAAAGCCAGTGAAGAGGCAGCAGACGAAGTTATTGAAGAAAGCGTCGCTGCTGTGTAAGTTATAAATCAGGCAGTTTTAATTAAAAAATGTATTTATCATTTTATTTGTCTTTATCTGAACCTTTGTCCATCGTTGGTGTATTATTTACTATAAAATAGTATAGTGGTTTGGTCAATTATGAACTAAAGGACAAGAACGTAAACTTATATTGTATGTCATATAGTTTATTTTCTTACATCACTGGAATCTGTTTTATATAAATTTTTGTATGCTATAAATGGTAAAATTTGTCGTTTTTCGACCATTATTTTATAACATTAAACGCAGCACATCAAAATTTTCGAGATATTTTAAACATGCTTAAAATGTTTTTTGAATCAATAGAGAGTAATTAGACATTGAGAAAAGAGTTCAAGCATTATCCTATGAATTAGCACCTTTGGAAGACCAAACGGAAGAAAATAGTTGGGGTTCTAAACATTGAATTAAGAATTATACTTCACACATCTGAAAATTGCTCCAACCTATACATGCAATGTAGCTAATTTGCGTTGTTATTTGAATGCAGGGCAAGTAAGTATTTCTTCATTTGAGGTCTACATACACTATGTAAGGTTTTTACAATATGCGTAGATAATAAATGATTTATTTTCATTATATTTCGAATAACTTGGATGTGCAGCGTTTGGAAAATATTCGAAACAACATGTCTTGAATACTTATAGCCTTTACAATAAAAGCTATAGAAAGAAACTTCAAAGACTCATGAAATATTAAAGTTATTTGTAGAGTACTTTATATGGGTTGTTTAGAAATGTGATATCAATTGTATCCGTTCTGATAATTGAAAAATTAACATTGAGATGTTGAAGTTCAATAAGGAAATACTGAACTGATTTAAAAGGCTTCAAGCACACCCCTGGATAATATTTTCTTAGTTTATCAATCTACTTAAAACTGATTAAGGGACATTGTTTACACTCATTACACATCTCTGTTAATATAAATTAAAGTATAGTACAAAATAATATACAAGTAACCATTGATTGACTAGCATTGGTGAACGCAAGATGTCTAATATAAAATATATTTTTTATTTTCTTAAGCTCAAATCTAAACATATTTTATGCTAAACATCTCGAATAAAAAATATATCGATTTAACAACAACAAAGGAGAGCTTCTGAAGCTCCAAAAATAAAGCAAAAATATAAATAGGTATTATAAATAAAATGAAGCAATAAATATATCAAATTTTCTTTACATTCATGGACATTTTACACAACCACACAAGACTCATCCCAGATTTTACATATATTTTGCACGATTTTTCGAAGACTAATTTTGTAAGTTTAAGCGCAAATAGATTTGCGGAAGATATGTTTACTTCTTATTTTATGCATGGAATATTTCATGTGCATTAGGATTTATGCGTTGGACAACGCAAATTCAATGTCATTTTGGAATTACGTATCTGAATCGTAATCAATGCCTTATTGGAGAATTTTTAAAAATTACAAGCCATCTGAAGTATTTTTACTATTAACAAACTGATATCCAATATGACATTGCAGAATTAACTTCTCCAACGGCGTCTACTTACAGCTTTGAACATTACAGCTATTGTAAATATTTATATTATTTATACGCCGAGTATATAAGGTGTTATTTGCATTTGCACTGGGAAGTTAATCTTCTGTATGACCCAAAGCTGCAGTTTGTTGAAGCAATTGTTTAAAAAAAACACCCTATAAACCCTCAAATAATAGTTTATTTACAAGGGAAGACGCACCAAATTCATCACAATACCATCACCACTCTGGAATTGTGGTGACTGTGGTGGCTAACATGGTGCTGGTTCGGACTTTCCGGCTCTCCATTTTGTGCCACCGTTTCTACCTTTGTAGGCCCTTCATCAGTATTGCTCCACTGATGAGCATTTATTTCAGATAAGCCTAAAAAGTATTCAAAATAACATATTTTATTTGACTTATTATATAAGATATTTTATACTGACTATACTGGGTGGTCTAGGTAACTAATCAGACTAAAATTTTAAATCAGTTTTATAATCTGTAGATTTTGCTTAAAATGTATTAATTGTTTTTGCGAAAGAAGATATACTTGTGTAAATAGGTACAGTTTATGTACAGCAAGTGTTTCCAGTTTATTAGTGCTCGTTAGCTGTGTTTAACTTGAGACTATTGGTAGATTGACGCTCCTGAGCAACTTTTGCCACTCTCAAAATTAAATAAATAACCAAGATTTTATTATAAAATTTGCGGATATATCTGAAGTTATTTTTATCCGGTGCCAAAATTTTATTTTCCAAATGCGCCCATAGAAAAATGTTCAAACAATTCAAGTCTGGGGTCTGCAGTGGCCACTCCACCGACCGGAAAATTTAATGTTTAAAAACTGCCTAAGAATATCTAGATATAATGAAATGGTGCTTTAATTTCTGACATTTTATGAAACACCCTGCATAAGTAGTTTTAGTTGAAAAGAGGACTATTTAAAAATCGCCGTTGATTTTATCGGTTTATTGCTAAATCTTTTGCTCGAGTCATAAAGGAAAAGAATTCCCGAGAAATGAAAAGGCGAAGTTCAGTTTGCCAAATATTTGTCATCTTAGTAAACGTTGTTAGTTTATTAATTTTGCATTTCAAATGTAGGTTTAACAAACCTTTTGGGAATGACTCACAATGTTCGCTTGAAACTGGTACGCTGGTTACTTGATGGTGCATTGTGACTGGTACCGAGTTGATTTGATGATGTTGGTAGTCCTGCGAAGTGCAATCACTCGTAGGGCTTCTACTATTCACTGGTGTTGAGTTATGAGATCTGTAGTGGAAACATATCTGGTTAAAAATCAATAGTCCCAGAAACAATTCATTTTTTACATACCCCCACATGAGAACAGTTTGCCGACTAGGCATATCTCCTTGATTGCTAACAGGTATGGGAGAGAAATGTTGTGGTGTGCCTATATGATGACTGTTAGGACTATCTTGGGGTTGCATTAACGGGGTGTCTTGTTTAATTTCTTCAATTTTCGGCGTAATAAGCCCTTGCTGTGGGGAAGAAGAGTGCGGTTTTTTAAGGGCGTCCTACGAAATTATGTCACCAAATTAGAACACAATTTTCCGGTAGTATCCTAAAACTTGCGAGCTTACTGACCTTGTGAGGAGTTGCGGCTAGTTCCAACTGAGGCGAACTCATCACTTGTACTGGCTGTATGATGCCTGAAGATGGACTAACTGAATAGGGCCATCCCACATCCAGACACTTACTGTTCGGTACAACATAGCTTCTGGTTCCGTCGTATGTTGGATACTTAACGGGAGTTGCCTCGACTACCTGAAAGTTACAAGCGTTAATTAAAGAATATATTTTTCTTTATTGTAATTATTAATATTTGCTATACAGCTAAGAGCAACATTGGGGTTTAAAGTAGCTTTTCCAGGATGCCTAGTTATAATAATTCAATTAGCGGCCAATACTGTAAGTGATCCATTGAAAAACAGATCCAATTTGAATAAAATAGTTGAGATGTAGTATTCTGTATTCAAATTAAATTAAATGAAAAAATATAATAAATAATTGTAAAAAATCTACGTACATACCTGCTGATGGCAAGGATACAGTTTGTCATCCACTACAGCTGCTCGGTAAGTTGCATGATGAGTGGGAGTTGTACTGGCCGCTTCGTAAGCTCTTGGGGTCATATCTAGGAAGCCGTTATATGTGCTGGAAGGTGTTGCGTGATGGTATTCTGGATAGTACGTACTAAGAGGCCTGGAAAAGGCAAAAATTCTCCATTTGCTGACCACCGCTTGCATCATTTCACTACTCTGATTCATCTTACCTATATTGATGGAAAATATTATCCGTTGTTGTTAAGTACCTATTGTCTAGTGCGGTAGCTGTCGGGTACAACGTGTGATTGAAATTTGGAGCAGAATGAGTCATGTAGCTGAGACTATGATCGGGAGTTGTTGTAGCATATGGGGCAGGGTACATGTTATATGTTGCCGTACATCCCTCAGCAATATACTCCACCTGAAATTGCAAATTCCTTATGAATTCGTTTCGAAAACAGATGGTTAAACTTACCGTGGTAGGCATTGTTGGTACTACCGAAGTTGTAACCGCAGAGTTAGTGGGCGGAGTAATTTGACCACTATTTGATCCATGCGACAGTTTGCGTTTCGTTCGACAAGTTGAGAGGAAATCTCTTAGTTGAGTTTTATACCTACGAATGATTTTAATTGAACATTTAACCACCACTCGAAAAAAAAAACGCCGGTTGCTTACCGTCTGTTTACTCTGGTAGGCGTTGTAGGTACTGCAGGATGCGTAGGTGATGTCAGCAATTGATCACTGTCTGAAAAATATGTATTAGGAAGCCCTGCATCCAGGTAACTAACTTTGAAGTCCATCGTGCGCTTTCCCAGGAGATCTCGGCCCTCTTCTTCCCTAAAGCACAGTTGCTATTCTCAATTCAGAATGACCTAAGAATTTTTTTTTGGGCTGTGATCAATTGCCGAAAATTCGTTTAGATAAAGCTGTTTTTAATTGCATAGTTTAAATGGCTGATGTTTGTTCAATTGGTTGATTAATAGTAACGGCTGTTATTCCGAATTGCTTTAACTGAATTAGCCTCATATCAAACATATTTTAAACACATTTTCGCATGCTTGGAAATAATTTGAAAATGATTATTCTCAAATATTTTTTATTCCATTTGCTGAAAACTTTATTGGAAAATGTATCAAGGTGGTTCTTATTGAAAACATCTACTTACATTAAGGGCCTGTGCGTGCTTATCACAAAATCGGGCTTTGAATTTTTGTACACTAATCTAGAACTAGTTTGCAGCCATTGCCATTGGCCGTCTTTGGTTTGGAATCGATATGCTATCATACCAGAAGCACCAGTTTTTAATACTAGAATAGAAAGTAATATTGTTTGGTAGTGGCCCATCAATCTGTGTAGAATTAATTCTATGTGTTCCTATATCTCATTAATACAAAAATGTGGATTTATATTGTATATGTACTTTTTACAGACGACACAAACTTTTCACAAAATGCTATTATAAATTTCCACAAAAATCACATCAGGTCTATGGAAACTTCACATGGAATTAGTGAAAGACATTTTCAGTGCCACTTTTTATTATCTAAATCAAACTCATCCGATTTGATGGATCGGTAGAAGAGTGGAGAAAGAAAATTTATCATGGCCACCAAATCCCCAGATTTAAGTCATCTTGATTTGAACTTCTGGGGACATTTAAAGTCCATTGTTTACAAAACGCCAACCAACGCAAAATGTCTTAAGACAGCGGATTGTCAATGATTTTGAAGAATCAAGAAAAATATAAGCAAATAGTGCTTGTATTTTGGCTGCTGGAGGGCATTTGAGCAATTTGTTATGTTAAATTCCATGTCTGTTAGTCGATTTAATTTCAACTAGAAAGTAGTTTGACTTTAAAACGTTATTTTACAATTTACGTCTAGCCTAGACTAGACTACCCACTCATCAAAATAAATTGTAAATAATTATAAAGTTGTGAGTGAAGTGAAGTAAAATAACTGTTGATTTTGGGATTGTAAGACGTGATTGAATACGATTTGTATTTTTTACTTGAACATTAAACTAAAGATAGAATTTTTGATTGAAACCTTTCACTCAAATACCTCTAGCGGTTTCGGATATATTAATAAACTTACATGTTTTTTTTTAACTTATTTAACACTTTATTTTTTGCTGAATGATGCCATTAAGGACACTTTTATTTGATTACACTTTTATTTTTTATTATAACGTTTAATCTTCAAATAATGCCCGCTATATTCTGCCTAAACTCTGTCGGGGTACTTTGTAAATCATCACTCTCAATCACTCTGTAAATACGCAATGAGGTAAGACATTTTTTAAATACCTACCAATTTTCATCGAAATCTTTGAAATATATCTGGTACTTTCAGAAAGTTTTACTATGTATTGAATAGTTGTTTAGTTTCTTCTTGGTTTGTTTTACGCAATGCAAATGCTTTTCACCAAACTGAAAATTGGCTGACGAAAACAATTTATTTTCAATCATTTGCATGACTTGCATTTTTAATTCTAGAGTCTAAAGCAATCCAAAACTTTAAAATTTAAATTTTGTCATTATATTAAAAGCGATTCAAATAAACAAGACTCTACTAAGTATTCTATCAAAAAATGTCTCAGTTTCAGATTTACTGAGCACTTATTGATTTGTTTATATTTAGAGACGATTGAACTTGTATTTTTCTGCATAAAAATGAAGAAAAAGTGTCTACAAACCCGAGTTATTGATATAAAAGGTTTTATTTTTAAATTTATACTAATTAATTTGTTTGAACCCAATTTGGTCATAATAAAATGACCTCACTTTTCTATATATTTAAGTCGTAAAGAATTCAACATCATCTTCATATTACATGAAATTCATATAAACTTGTGCTTTTAAACTATTTCGCTTCTGAAGAACGAACTATTATTATTTGTTTTTTCCTTTGTAATTTTTGCGAGTATTGGTTTCAAAGCGCTTAGGGGTTTCACTTTTTGCGAATAAAGTGGTAAGGCAGTGAATTTTGCAATATTTTAATTACTTTTTAAAATTTCTTATTACCGTAGATATTCGTTGAATTACTACATAATTTAAAAAAATTGCATAAAAAATTAAAAATAACAGAAACAATATTTTTAGGCACATCACGTATTTCGGAAAAAACGAGTTTGATTTTCCAAGTTTTTATACTTTTAGAATTGATTTTTTTATAAAGCTTATGAGCGTAAAAATGACTTCAATATTTATCAGTAAATATCTTTATATATGTATATATATTTTTATATATATATAGGTATCAAAAACAGACCCCAAAAATAATATGGAACAACTTATTATTTTTATAGTAAAAGTAAAAGATAGTTGCTTTGATTGTATACTAAAGCAAATATTATGTCAATAATTTATTATTTGCATACGTAAAAGAATAAAAAAAACTTACACTCTTGATGTGCACTAGCCACATAGGCCAAGTCATCGTAATGAACTAAATCATATCCACCCATACTCGCTAACTCCGAGTCTGAATACCCCAGCAACAATTTTCCCCTAAAATGAAAATAATTTAAATACAAAATTACGTTTTATTTCTACAGTTTCATACCTCTGATCCATGGATACCAACGCCAAATCCAACTTATGTTTACTCTTGAACATCACTTCTTTTTGGGGGATTTCCAGTAATGATGGCGGTCCAAATGGCGTACAAATCGCAAAAAGTGCTAAAGGCGGTTCTTCAGATTTCCGATTTTGGCCATGCAGAACTTTCACCCTTCCTCTTATATCTAATCTCTAAAAACGCAAGTGTGTAGTAAAAAATTCACCTCCATCAGGTAGAAACAGAAGTCTTACTAAAAATCCCGATGTGTTGTCCAACAAACACCGAAACCGTACAGTGAAACTGCGCTCTAAAAGATGAGTATTCTCCGGGTTGAGAACGTCTTGGAGGCCCATATTAGTAGATTCAGGTGGGAGAAAAGAGTTCCACATAAGTTGCCTCTGAAGTTCTTCCCGGTCTTCAGAATGGACTAGTTCATAGACGGACTGATGCACGATATCGGACTAAAACAAACCCTATTTCTTAATAAAACTAGTTCATGCTTCATGGGAAAAGTTTCAACTTAATTCGAATAGCTTAGCTTGAGCATTATTGCTCCGAGTTATATACCTGGTGAAAGCCAAGATATCCTTCTATGCTATGGGTGGCGAAAAATACTTCCCCTTCACAAGTGAGAATCATCAGAAAGCCGTTGAGAGCCTTGAAGGAAAAAGCGTCTTTTAGGAAAATATGTATATATTTTCTAATATGCAATACTCAATTACAGTTGAAAGCAACGGATGGCTAAATGACTCGACATGCTTTTAAACCTACTTGCAAAAACATTTCTCCGTCCATAGGTGTATGGTCGAAAGCAGTTAGATCCCGTTGCCTATGGAGCCCGACTGGATCATCTTTATCTTTGTGCATTGCAACTGAAACAAGAAAATTTATATCAACAACTAAAATTAGCCAAGGGGAGAGATAAAAATAAAGAGCGTTTATGATTGAGTATTGCAAAGTGACGATTAAATAGAAGGAAAAACGGTCATATTTGGAAATTATTCATGAAGTTGCTGCGTTGGTGACTGTCGGTGGGAATTTGAAACTTAAATCAATTTCGTGCACCTTCAAGTCGGTTGAACTCAAACAAAACAAGTCTCCAATATAATTAATTAATATCTAAATAGCTGCGACAGAACATTCGTGACCATGCAAAATTAAGCCGACTAACAGCCAATGGCTTATGGGTATACTTCATGCCGCCCTGGCAGCTCATTCATAATGGTAACTTCATTATGATTAGGGATTATGGTTGCTTTTTTGACTAATATTGCCTAATTGGGTCAGCTAAATTGTACTCCAACGTCGCTTTATGTAGTCTCTCGTAAGACGTACTGGTATGAAATATTATTGGATCAGGATTTGGCTATAAATCGCTGCTTCATCTAGTGGCAGAAAATTTTTTGTACCCTGAGTCATCCATTATTTCGATATTATGTTTGCAATTGTAAAATTGTAGATTATAATATGAGCTTTAATGATACTTGTAATTTGTTGAAGTTTCGTTACTTTTGTAATGTTTCAGTTCCTGGTATGTAAAAGTTAATTAGAGTAGTTCAATGTCTGCAAGTGAAGCTACTTTTCTTGTTTCGTTTACATATTCATTTTGATAATGACTATTTTAAAATTTCACTGCATAGTTCACGTTTTTTGCCCAACATAAATGTGCAGAACTTTCTGAAATTTTTATCAATAGTTCTTGTTTTTAGCAGTCGGTTTTTGGCGTAACTATCAACGCATTTTGTTATTCAATGTTAATCTCGTTTCTTACCCCTTATTTAACCCAAAATCTTTCTCATTAAGATTCAACTACAATTCCGAACTTGGAAAGAACTTTACATTTTCATTTATTTTTCTCCCCTGTGTTGGGACCTCGTTCGGATCTTTCTGTTAAGATGAGTCGAAAGATGTCCTTTCAAAGTCAATTATGTTTAGAAATTTCTAATTTATATTTTTTCCTTAGATAAAGGCAACATTTTATGAAACTGAATGAAATGAAATTGCAATAAAAGTCTTGAAAACTATATCGAGTTTTCCCAGTACGCACGCCTCAGATACCTATCAATAAACGTTTACATAAATTCGTTTACTTTGTTACTGTAATTCGCTCTTCCCTAATCGTCCCAATTCTGTAAGTTTTTGATCTGTAATATTTTTCAAGAAAAAAGTTGCGACTTTTGCTTTCTTGCTGCTCTAAGGGTTACATTTAAGATTCCAATATGGATGAAGGTGTACATCCGTCCGCTTAAGCCGATCTTTATTTTATATACCCCCATGCCACCCAGCGAAAAATTCAATAAGAATCGTACCAATAGGACGCAATATAGTAATAAGAGGGTAGTCGTAACTACGTCTGTAATACGATCCATATCTGCAGCTTACATAAATGGGGCGGAGCCCCATGTCTAATTCTCCTGACAGGGCTGATGCAACACAACCGATAACGCGGCTTAAACCAATTTTAGATGTTGGTGTTGGCACGGTGGATTTTCATTATAATAGACAATATCTAAGTTTGTAATTACCTGTCCTTTACAAGTCATTGTCTAATTATACATTTCCAGACTTCTTTCAAGCTATATAATGACTGATTATAAACAGTCAGACTGTGTTAGTTAACACCAGTTAGCAGCTTCAGGAATCAGCATATGAATCCATATTTTTTAATAATAAATTGAGGGTGAAAGAATATTTACGATTCATCTTTTTACGTACACTTAAATTTGAAAACCGACATAATTTTAAAGCTGACGAAAATCAAAATATGCTAAATATTCTTTGATGAACAAAAAAATTTCAAAACGACAAAAAACTTAAAACAGTAATAAACCGCAAGTCATTCCCCCCGATGCCATTGAAACTTTACTTAACAAAGTAGGTAACAGAATAACACCCAATTTTGGAAAATCGAGTTTATTAAAATATGAGTTCATTAGTCTGTTCGGTCGATCGCAAAATAAGATCGATCGCTCTAGATAAACTCTCCTGCGTATTATCAAGCTTATGTAAAAACATATGCATAGTTTAACAAGCTAATTTACAAGAAAGTAGCTCGAAAAACATCTGTCAATACCACTGGGAAAAAATTGCCGCCACATGCTCACAAATTTAATCCGAGTTAAGTTTTAGCAGGATCGGCCATTTGCATCATATTAATAAGAGTAATAATTTACCATCCAAGTTCTTTGTTCGCAAAAGCAATAATTTTTAATGCAACTATAAGGACATCTTACCAAAATAGGAACGATATTTATGCAGTAACTAATAATTATATGTCCAATTTAAAACTTATTGCTATTTAATATGCATTACTTCGACATTATCAATTGCGCGCGTAATTATGGTGAAATAAGGTAGATACTTACATTTACGTTTCAGTTGATTCTGTTAATAAAAAAAATATCTTTTTAAACCCGAACTGGTATTACAATATAAATTTGAAAAAGTAGTGAAGTATTTGGATTTGAATTTCCATAATTTTTCCTATTTAATATACGAATATACTGATACTTTAAAACCAAGTTAATTTTGAACGAAAACAAGGGTTTTCCGATAGACGCTGTAATTGAGATGTTATTTTATCTAATATTACTTACAATTTGCATTGAAATTGTTTCTCAAGGTGTTTTTCTGTGGAGGTTTTGGTTTTCATTGAAAATTAGTTTACCTAATTATTCATGTTTTGTACTTTATGTATTATGTTACGATGGTCAAAAACGTCTCTTCTATTTGTCTGCATTTTCTTACATTTTTCCATACCACATTCAGAATTAAAAGTTAATTAATAAATAGTATGGAGAATGCAGAATTTTAATCATTCTTAAATAAATTACGTGTTTAATCCTAGCACGAGTGTTTCCGGATTTGAATCAATTATATCTTCCGACGTATGTAGCGTAATTTTTCAACTAAGTACTTCGCTGATTCTCTTAAATACATTCTGAATATAAATGTACCATTTTGAGTGCTAATGTTTCCTGCTTTCAGGAATACATCACATTTTTGATCTAGTTCTGTTCAATCTTCCTCTGAAGCATAGTTTTCCATTAAAATTTCTCTGGATCTCAAGCATTGCTAATTGTAATTATGCAAGTGCGTTTTTAATATAAGCTAGTTCAATTTTTTTTTCTCAAAATTTAAACTAAAATTATTCCATTTTATTTTAACAAAATTATTAAAATATTTCCAGCTCTAGATCTATGCTTTTTCGTTTTACTATCGAAAATTTCTAAAGTTTGTCAACCATTTGTAATTTCTAAAATGAATTGAAAAAATAAGAATGAAGAAGATATTAACTGTTTGGTACGGTTATTGTGCAGCAGATAAAAAGGAACTTTCGTAATGGATTGATACATATTCTGCTAAAAGTAAGATGATTCGTAGTTTTACATTCTAAAAAATTTATTGGTGTAGGTAGTTGTTGCTATGTTAGTTCAAGTGAATCAGTCACAAAACTAATTATAAAAAATGTGACAAAAAGCAAAATGTTTGAAAATGTATAGAGGAAGTCATTCAGGATGTTCAATAATCATTGGAGTACAGAACAATATCTGAATAACGAAATTGAGATAAGGTTGATGGCTTGGAAATTACAGGATGCGTAATTATAATTTTTGACTAAAATAGATTTATTTTTTGAACTGGGATTGAACTTTGGATAAACCAAATCAAAAATCCATTCAAAAATTTCTCAATAAAATCGGCACTTTGTACGTAATTGTGTTTCACAATTAGTGCTCAGTTTAATTTAAAAAGAAAATGTTTGTCCACCTAGTAGATCCCAAACGACTAACATTGTACTGGTCTCAAATGATTTGCAGAACACTTTTGATAACCTCATGCTTTGTACCTTTTTTGTTATGGAACACGCTGAAGAAAGTACCTAATATACAGGACGAGGTGAAAAAACAAATGCTCAATTGCAGTAAATTTCAAGACGGAAAGTATCGAGACGACAAATCTGGTTCAGCGTGTCGAAATTAATTACGCGAATCGAGCAAACAGTAGCATCCAAACTATAGGTGTGAATTCAAGTGTGGGTTTCTCAATTTCTTTGATATCTACCATTACAGAGCCGGGTTCAGTCACTAATACCATTACCTGCAAGGATTTTAATGTGGACTAGAAATTACGAATCTTCAACCGATATTATACTAAGGACTGTATTTTGATTAGTGCCTTCTTCTAGAAAGTTCACATGTTTTAAATTATATGTTGTCAGACATGGTGTTTCTGATTGGAAAGGTTTAGAGGACAAAATAAAATCTGCAAGTTTTTATATAGATTTTTACATATTTCATCTTTATTTATACCCATCTCTGACCAAAACTGTTGGATCTGCAATTCGAATTGTTTTATTTCGCTCATTTCAATCAATGCGGCAGTTGAACCGCGTTTCTAAAAGGTAATCAATAGCGCACATAATTATTCTTCCATATAACTGTCTAAAACCTACTAGGGTTAAGTCAGGAAAATGGGGTGGCGACGATATTGATCCGCTTCTTACTATAGAATTATTCGGGTTGCTATTGTCATCGACTGTTTGCAAATATTCTCGTTATATTTTTTGAAAGTTCTACCCTGAATCTAATCATATCTTTACCAAAATCTACCGAAGTTTTAATGAACCAGCAGCGAACCAGGTTGGCACGGCGATTTATGGGAGCACCACGCGGTTCGTGGCCCCCGATTTGGTTTCGTTACGGAAGGTCGAATTCCTCGTAAATAAAGTCCGGGGGTGCATTTCGGTCACTGGCTTTTCGATCAAAGATAATTACGAAATTATGTATGGGCTTAATATTGTGCGGAAAATGGATGCAACTATAATAATAATGTAAGAAAAATAACACAAATTCGAGTAATTTCTTACACT